GGCGCAATACAATCATCAATCCACTCCTCCTCTCCATTCCTGGTAACGTATTGCCTTCCGAAGGAACCTCCAAGCCAAATATAGCACTCATCGGTCCAAACTACCCCTCTCCACTGCCACTCCATCCAGGTACGATGTGCAAGAGCAAATGTTAGACGTCTGTTTCTTTGACTCTCGTTAAGAAAAGGTTTCTTTCGTGCTACACGACGATGATAACTGTAACGGAGCCATTTCAACCGTTTGGTGTATGAGTACATACAGGGCCCGGTTACATGCTGAGAGTTATTGATAGAAGCCAGTTGCACAGTGACATGCAAGTGCCAGCAGTGTAGTTAGCTACCAGCTGTCAGAGTAACTATATTCTGAGCGTTAGGAAGAGGATCTATTAATGGGAGTAATGACTGACGAGTCTATGCCTCGCCAATGATTAGAAGGTCAGCCAGAGTGAAGCTCTGAGTGCTCGGCGATCCTCTATATTCTCTGAGCATGATAAGTGCGCCGGTAGTGACAGGGACGATGCCTGGGAAAGTCTACAATAAGGGAAGAGCTCTACAGCAATGATTAAGCTTACGCCTGAGCGGTAGCTCATTTCATGCAGGTCCGGTTGTGCGACAACCAAGACTGTAGGTGTTACAAAAGGCTTTGACTAAGGGTAGTTGCCTTCGGAACCGGAAGCACCCGCTAACGGTTAGAGAGAATCGGGGTAGCGGTGGTAATGCTTCCCTTCCGCTAGAAGGCATCACCGGAACTTAGTAAGGAAGTAGGAGCAGCGGAACGGAATCCGTTGGAGTATAAGTACTCAGGATCCTTCCCGCCCAACTATCCGTTTTCCACAGTCTTCATCAGAACTATTAAGTACATTCTACTCGGTAGCATAGCCCTTAAAGATTATTGAGTTATTAGCGATAAATCTTTGGGAATAATCTAAACCTGATTTCTATCTTGCACGGCCACATCTTTCTATCAGATTCTAGCGATACGTGGAAAGACTGTCCCCATTACAATAACCTTCCTTAGCAAATACTGCACGTAGTGTTTTGGCAGAAACTCTTATACTAATTTCTTCTGCAACATCTGACCATGGTTTCCTTCTAGATTCAGCAGTGGCGGTAGCTGCAAAAACCAACTGATGGCGGGTAGGTGTATCCAGTATCAAAGGACGGCCACACCTCCCTTCTCTCTGTGGTGTAGCGGGTGAGTTGCAAATTCCATACACAGTCGAGATTGCTAACTCTTGATCATCGGCTATCTGTTGAAATGTCCAGCCTGCATACCTAAGGGCTTGAACATAACATCTTTTTCTGTAACTGATGTCGTCTGTACGAGTTGGAACTTGATCCGGTTCGGGGGAGGCCATACCTTGACCTGGTTCGGGGGAGACCATAACTTGAATGCCGAAACTTGAAGAATGGATCGTTGTCGGACTTGAATTGTTGGAAGAACTGGTTAAATACATGGACTACTAGTCTATACCTAAAAGAAAAAAAAAAAATTTTCACTCGTACTCCGAGAATCCTCACTCCGTGAACCTCAATCCGTGAACCTCAATCCGTGAACCTCACTCCGTGAACCTCAATCCGTGAACCTCACTCCGTGAATGATTGAGGTTCAATGCCAACCAATCAAATCACTCGCCACACTCCGGCCCCACAGCACTCGCTAAACCCCTGTTTTCGCAATAATGTTACCGCACTCTGTAGATAGAATAAAACACATTTCACTTCCGCCGTCGTATTTTGCAAGCTAGTTAGCTAGCCGATCTAGTTGTAGTCCTTCCCGCTCTCGTATAGCCGTTTCAAATCGATAGCGTACCCAGCGAATGATAATGGGAAGATTGGTATGTCATTATCGATAGGATAATAGAAGCACTATCTTACAGCGTCGCCGTTCATGCCTTGATTCATGAGCGCGAGAATAGGTAGGAGGAGGAAATATCCACCGGAACAAGCATTCTTGCAGAACAACCACCCGCAGCTATAATACAGGTAGCAATTCTACATCCCGGTTACGTCATTGCCTATCGCCGGTTTATGGCCAGGCTTTAGGGTTAGTTGTGTGTGATTATCTGATGCGGTTAGTCAGAGCTCTCAGGGTCGTAGGATCTCACCTCCTCTTCCGATTACACCGAAAAGTGGCGAAATCCCTTATCTTGACGGTGCCTGAAATTCAAGGGTGGCTACCAACGCCGTATATGTACACAACATTGCGGGCATTAGGAAGTGCGGGGATGCGGTCCAACCTCCGCACCTACCCGTCCGCAAGTACAATCTAACCCGCCTCGTCATTATCTCCGTCTACAGTACTATCCATCCGCGGCCACATTTATGCATACCTAAACTACCACCACAATACGTGGTGACAGGAGCAGGGTTGGTGGGGAGCGGCGGTGATCTGCCTGTGACCAAGTCCCTCGGGAGCGAATAATTAAATGAAGGTTACTAAGGAATAAGGCCTTTCTGTACAACCCTATGATACAAGAGGGGAAGCTCATGAAACCACGGACACCTATTCGAACAATCTGGATCTATTGCTGAAGCAAGATCCGGCAGGTGTACGCATGCTCAGATATACCCTGTGGCTAAATATCCCACACTGGGTATTTCTGATAACGCGGCAGGCACAGAGAAATACTTGATAACCTAGGTCTCCCTTCTGTCTTGGGTTGTCAACAGATTACGGTGGCGCACCAAAAGATTGTAAAAAAGAGGATGCTAGAAAATTGTAACTTGTTCCGTCAACATACTATCGGTTTACTCCTTCCAAAACATGCGGCGCGCGAAACACAAAAAAGCAGGTAAAAGGTCATGGCTATATATACTACAGCTTAGACTGTAGAGGACAATCCAGTACTCACAAACCCAAAGCTCATCAAGACCTCGGGGGAGCACCGGCACGGCGGTGTACTTAGTAGATATAATGGGTCGGATATATTTATATCAGTGTGTGGTGATATTAGCCAAGGGATCTATCGTCCACTGCAGATGTCATAGGCTTCGCAATGGGCTTGCCGTACCTATTTGGGGCAGGCCCGGTCCTCTATATACGGGTATGTTACGTTAGTCCTCCATTTTTTGAGATTTCCATATGATTAGGCCGGGTCAGGGAAAAGAGGTTACCCGGGTAAAGCTATTTGGCGAGTGATACTCTGTGAACAACAAAAGAAACGTCTTTTATGCAAGACTTCAAAATATACCAATGCCGAGTGATATTTGGTGACTAAGTCATATTTCTTTATTATTTTTTTTATTTATCTCATAAATTACATACAACCCTACGGTTATGGGTGAATGGGCCGTATCGATCCCAAAGTGTATTAAAATAACAACTATATCGTTGCTCTAAGACATTCTAAGCCACCGTCTATCCCAACAAAAAAGAAAGAAAAAAACGACGGAAAGAAAAAGACAACCCTGTACTAGCCGTACAAGGTTAGTGTAACTAGTTAGGTTAAACACTGTTAACTAAAGCGGAATATTTCTCCCCCTTTCACGAAATGATGCTCGCATCGTTATATAATTATTACAATAAAGGTTTTGAGTAACTCGTTTCAATTTGGCCTGACGGTTTAAGGGATACCTCCACTGCCCGACCAGACGGATCACCTAAAAATAAAGCTAAAAGGTATAAACACCGCTTCGAATTCCAGACAACCACAACTCCTCCCAACACACCACACCCCCACACCTCCGTCGCCTCCCCCATCCCTCGCGCTCCTCTCCACCTAGCTAGCCCACCCCCGCCGGCCACCCCCCCCCCCCCCGCGGGCACAGAACCCCCGTAAACCAGCATCCCGAAACCACCCCCCACGGCGTACCGGGATCCAACTCCCTATCAGAAAACTCTGCACCAGCTAGATATACACGCCAAATAACACCGCCCAGCATGGCCCAAGATCCAAGAACGACCAAAACAGCGCCGACCCCCGAACCTAGTATCGAGTGAGAGTCCATGGCCCAGCACTCCCACCTGGTGCACCAACTGTAGGTGCTATGTTGGTCATGTGGACAGCATGCCGGCTTTCAGCGTTCGGTGGGCAGACACGTCGGCTTGAAGTCATCCCCGCTTCAATTCGACTTCATGGTGGATAAGTGAGGTGGGCGAGTGATAAGCTGTGATCGAGTGCTACTCCATGATCCCGCCGAAACGGGCCGTAGCGCCAAGACGCAGGCACCCCCGATGCGGCATGAGCAGATCTAGCACTGTAAGTTGCAGCAAGAACAAGTACCGTCCCTACTTGTCGGCAGTTATTCGGATTGGACTAGCTAGTTTAGTTAACGCAGCATGAAGATCTAGACTTCTTTCTCATCTCACCAAATGCATGCCGTATGAATGTAACACGGCACTATAGCTGGTTGGTAGTAGAGGTTGTTGCAGCAGAAGGAGGTGAGATGTATGAGATGTATGAGATGTGACAGACATATGGCCGGTGGAAAGGAAATGAAATGAAGCTATAGCTATAGTGGGGAGCTACATAAGGAAAGCTAAAGTTAAGTACATTGAACGCAATTACAAACATCACATCACGACGCGACAACACCCCCTCTCCCTCTCCCCTCTCCCCCCCCCTCCCTTCCCCCTCTCTTCCACCCTCTCCCCACCCCCCCGCCCCCCGCACACCCAACCTAACACCCCCCCGCCCCCTCCAAACCCTCTCCTCCTCCGCCACCCTCACATTCCTCCTATGCAGCTCACTCCCCATATGCGCCTCCAGCCCCTGCAGACTCCTCTCCCTCCCACACGCCTCACACCGAAACACCCCCCCCATCACCGTCACCCACTCCCCCGCCCGCGTCACCTCCTCCTCCTCCTCCTCCTCCTCCTCCACCACATTATGCACACTATACACCCACGCCACAACCTTCTCCTCCGGCCTCACGCTCACCGGCAGCTCCACCCGCGTCCCCGCCGCCGCCGCAGCCTTCTGGAGATGCTTCCTCCCGCGCGGTGCGTCGGCATGTCCATCGTAAAGTATGTCGCGTCACAGACGGCGCAGTACGTCTTTAGTGGTAGTGTCGGTGCTGCTCCGGTTGGGTGTGATGCTGCTGCTGTTGTTGTTGCCTCCTTCTCTCCGCTTCCCCGGCGATGGCGGCTGCCTTCTTGGTGTGTTTCTGGCCGTTGAGGTGGCCTGCGCGACCGAGGAGGGCAAAGCTTTTGTTGCAAGGGGTGCAGAAGAAGGTTTCTACCGCTGATGGCGCTGCGGAGGGTACCGCTGATGGTGCCGCAGACTGTGCTGCAGATGGTACGGCACACGGCTCCTCTGCCGCCGGTGGTGTAGGAGGAGTAGGCGGCCCCCACCCCGGCCCGTGCACCTCACGCATCCTCGCCGCCCACGCCGCCGCGCGCTTCTTATGCTTCTCGGCCGCCTCGTGTCCGCTGCGGCCGCTGACGCCAAACCATTTGTTGCATTGCTCGCAGAGGTATGTTTCGTATGGTAGGTCTGGGGGTGGTGGGGGCGCCGGGGGAGGAGGGATGAATGTCGGTGCTGGGAGATGTGGAGTGAAGAGTTGTGGAGTGGGGGGGGTGAAGAATTGGGGAGTGGATTGTGTGTTCTGGAGGTGCTTGCGCGAGGCGAGATGGGTGGTGCGGTTGGCGGGGGGGAGGGTTTTGTTGCAGGGGGCGCAGAAGAAGGTTGTTGGGAGGGCGGTGGGGGCGGTGGCGGTGGTGATGGCGGTGGAGTAGGTTGGCGGCTGGGGTTGTGGTGGTGGCGGGGCTGTCCGCGGCGGTGGTGCTACTTCTGGTTGTAGAGCGGGGGTGGCAGTCGCCGGCGGTGAAGGTGCTTGTGCTCGTTGTGGTTGTTGTTGTGACTGTGGCTCCCGCGCAGGCATAGTCGTTGAGGACGATGGGCGCCACCGTGGCAGTGGCGGTGGTGCAGGCACAACAACATCCTCCTCTTCCTCTCTCTCCTTCTCCTTCTCCTTCCGCCACCTCGCCTTCCACGGCGGCGGCTGCTGTCCCGCCTCGCCCCCCTTCTCGACCTTCGAACCCCCACCCGGACCACCCCGGCAGTGCCACGCCTTATGGCTCACCAGCTCCTCCCCCAGCAACGGCTCCTCACACACATCACACTTCCACTCACACTTGACCTCACCTCCGTCCGCCTCCCGCTCCTTCCGCCGCTTCTGCGCCTCCGCCAAGTCCCTCGCCATCTTCCGCTCCTTCCGTGTGCCCCCGCGCAGGTTCTCCAGAGGGCGGGGGGCGCCCGCTTCTATGTCGCCCTTCTTTACCCCCAAACCACCCAGCCAGCGCACCAAAGCCGCCACACGCGCCGCATCGTCCACCTGCTCCTCCTCCTCCTTCTTCTCCGCCGCCCCCCATCGCCAGAGCCCTTACACTGCCCCGCCCTATGACTCGCCAACTCCCCGCCCATCAGCGGCTCCTTGCACACATTACACCTCCACTCAACCTTCACCACGCCGCCGTTCACCTGCCGCTCCTCCCGGGCCTTCGGTGCTCCCGCCGTCTTCCTCGCCTTCCGTGTATTCCCGCCTCGATGGAAGCTCGGCCATGCGCTAACCGAGTCCGGTGCCGCGTCGGCAGTAATACCCCAGAATCGCGCCTCCCTATCCACATCCATATCCACAGCCACTCTCTCTCCTCCCCCTCCCCTTCCCCCTCCCCATTCTCCTCCGCCTCCTCCTCCTGCGCACCCCCACTCGTAGCGCACGCCGCCCACCTCTTCCCCACCTCCCCATTCTTCCTCGCCCACCGCACATCCCCCGCCTTCCCCCCACCACCACCGCCGTAAAGCTGCTCCATCTCCCGATGCGCAGCACCCCTTGCATGCGCCTCCCGCCCAGCGATGTGGACGCGCTGCGCGCAGAGCACACACATATACACGCCCACCTCCTCCGCCCCGCCCCGGCCGCCACTGTCGTGGCCGGAAACCTCGTGGACGGGGAACTCGGCGGCGCAGAGGCCGCAGTAGAACATTACCTGCTGCTGTTGGGGTGTGGGTGCGGGGTTGGAGTTGTCGGAGTCGGAGTCGGAGTCGGAGTCGGAGGATGAGGAGGAGTACACACTCTCCCCACTGTCCGCACCCTGCCCACTCCCTACACTCTCGAAAACGGCCACGGTGGCCTGGGTAAGGGCATTGGCGGCGCGCCGCAAGTTACGGGCGTGTGCCCGCTGGTCACGCTCCAGCCTCGCGACGCGCTGGCGGTCCGTCTCAGCCCCAGCCCCAGCCACACTCCCCGCACTCTCCGACACCTGGGCGGGAACGGCGGCGCGCAGCATGGGGGGTACATACGCCCGCTGCTCATGTTGCTGTTCCAGCCTCAAGATCGGATGGTGGTTCTTCTTAGCCCCAGCCCCAGCCCCAGCCCCAGCCCCGGTGTACACACTCCCGCCACCAGACGCAGCGCTCTCCGATGCTGAGACGGAGACGGGGGGCCGCGCGGGAATGGACGTGCGCCGCATAGGGGGTACATATGCCCGCTGCCCACGCCCCTGTTCCGGCCTCGGGATCGGGTGGTGGTTCGTCTCAGCCCCACCCCCGGCATACACACTCCCCGCACTGGACGCAGCACTCTCCGACACGGCGACGGGAGCGGCGGCTCGCCGCATGGGGGGCACATACGCCGCACTCTCCCCCGCCCTCATCACAGCCCTCCCATGCGCCCTCGTGCGGCAGTGCTCGTCGCGCGCAAACACAGACATGGTGTCAGCGCACGGCGCGCAGGTCCACAGCGGCATGTAGGATGGTGCTGGGCGGTCCTTCTTTGGCGGGGGCCGGGCGGAGGGGGTGGAGGAGGTTGTTGATGCCGGGGGGGGAGGGGGTGGGGAGGGCGCGGGATGGCCATAGACACGGCCTGGTGCCGGGTGGCCGTAGTCGGGGCGACCTGGTGCGGGAGGTGCTGGGCCGGGTGGTCCAGGCGTGGGATTGCCGTAGGCTGGGCGGCCTTGCGCGGGATTACCGTAGACAGTGCCTGGTGCGGGAAGTGCTGGGGCTGGGGGAGCTGAGGCTGGAACTGCGGCGGGAGGAGGAGCTGAGGCCGGGGGAGCCGAAGCGCGATAGCGATAGCCGGCGGCGTCTCCTACGAACCATCGCGGCAGTCGTGCGCGGAGTAGACGTGGTTCCGCTGCAGCAGAAGGGGATCCGGAATGGGTAGAGAAAGAAGAAGAAGCCAGAAGGACGCCGTTGGAGCGGGCAGAGTACGGAGAGGGGTCGCCATCATCGTCGTCGTCGTCGTCGTCGTCGTCGGTGTATTCTTCGGTGTATTCGCCGATTGTTTCTTCGCTACCGTTGCCATCTGAGTCTTCGTCCGGGTGGGCCTGCCGGCGGGGCATGTAGCCGCCCGCGGTGCGGTAGCGGCGGATTCGCCCAGGTGTGGCTCGGGGTATAGCGGGCGCACGGTGGTCCTGCTGTGGGCGGAAGCGGGCGGGGGTGGGCATGGCGTGGCGTGGCGTGGAGTGGAGCAGCTGGCTGGCGGTATGCAGAGATGTATGTGGCTGTTAGTTAGTTATAGCGTGTAGTCTATCAGTGTGGTGGGTAGATAGCTCTTCGGTGTGAGAGGAGGAGAGACGGTAGAGATATGAGAGAGAGAGAGGTGGGGTAGACATTGACTACGATGAGCTGAGGTTCTAAATAGGCGCCTGCGGCTACGGCTGCATGCATGGTGTGGGTGGAGTGAGTGTGTGGTGGGGGGCCTGAATGAGCCCTGACCCTGCGGTGCAGTGCAGTGCAGTGCAGTGCAGTGCATACGTGCGTGGGATGTGGTTGGCGCGTGCGTTTGGTGTTACCTGCAGGGCGAGGATGGGGATTGTAGTATCGGTAGCTGTGTTTGACATTGCGGCTTTTGTTTATTTACGAGGAAAGGGGGGCGATATAGGTCGGTTGAGCAAACAAGACTAAGTACCGGGTGTTGTGGGTAAGTGATCAGAAGCCGTCGTGGTTGGCGGATCGGGCCTGCATATTATCATTGGCTGTAGCCACAGACGGCCACGTTTGAGTTCAACCTCATGAGTGTCATGGCAATAGAGAAGGCCGACACCGAACTGTTATCAAACATCACGAACTCTGTCTTTTCCTGCTCTGTCCCGTTCTGTCCGTCCTGTCCGTCCTGTCCTGTCCGTCCTGTCCTGTCCGTCCTGTTTTGTCCATTCCGTTCCATGAAGAACAAAGGCACCCGGGCTCAGCACCATGCTTCGAGCAATATTTACAGAAAGGAAACCACTCGTGATGAGAGGTTAAGAATAATGACTTTGTGAGATGATGCAAAGATGACATGGAAGAAGATACAAGAGCATACAGGTATTGATTTCAGAACCTGTCAATCAATATATGCTAGGACAAAATCCAACGGGACCCCTTCAAATAGGCCTAGAACAGGCCAGCCTGTCGTGTTCAATGCAGAGGAGAAAGAGAGACTTCGGCTGTTTATCACCAGAGATAAAAGGACTAAGCGTTTGATGTGGGAGGATACAATACAAGAGATGGGAATTGCATGCTCGGTAAAAACTTTGAGAGATGTAATAGCATCTATGGGCTATCACAAGCGTGTTTCAAGAAAGAAGTAAGTCATTTAAATTAGAAACATATTATCATAGACACTAATAAATATATAGATTCGGTATTCGGCATATAAATAAGCAAAAACGGTTGCGATGGTATCAGGAGAGATTGCACTGGACCTACGAAGAATGGATGCGGGTGGTATAGACCGATCAATCTACCTTCAATACAGCCAGCTTTGGCCATCGTCCATGGGTAATACGCAAAGCAGATGAGGAATATCATCCCGACTGTATCGACGAGAGATGGGAGTCAGGCAGACAATCTGTTATGATTTGGGGAGTGTTCTGTGGTCCTAAACTCAAGTCGGATATATATTTTGTGCCATCTGGCAGCAAAATTGACTCTTCATCATATACTACAACCATTTTAGACCCTCCTTTGATACCCTTTTGGCACAAATGGTTCGATGAATATGGCTGGGCACGAGTGGTAGAAGATGGTGCACCTGGGCACAAAAAATACTCTATTCTCTGCAGGGAAAGAAATAATATGGATAGTATTGACTGGCCCCCGCAATCTCCTGACTTGAACTTGATTGAAGCCTTATGGGCACATATGGAGACGGAACTGGGAGAGACATTTGGCAGAATTTCTCACTTAAATACATTGAAGAATTTCTTAAAAAATACCTGGGATAACACTATAACTAGAGATATGTTAGACAATTTAGTAAAAAGCATGCCCCGTAGACTGGCAGCTGTTATTGCAGCTGGCGGGGATGCCACACCTTACTAGAGTAGATAGTAATAGAAAAGTTCTGATCACTTTTTTCCCCCTTATAAATACAAAAGTCTCGGCCCCCTTGATTGGATTCCCACCCTACTGGACCCGCAATTACCTGCATATCGTCAACCTCTAAAAATCGAGTTCTGATCACTTTTGCACACACCCTAGTACAGCATTTTCTGGATCGTTGGAGGAACAGATTCGATGGCGGACAAGGTGCATTTATGTGTGGCTGACTCCAAGTGAGTGCTCATGTGCGGACAAACATGCAAACGGGAGTTCATCGTTCCCTTACTTTAATTCATCTCGACAAAATGTCTTATCATCATCATGAGTTGTCTTTACTTGAGCTTGATCTGGAATCCCAAGCGACCACAAAACCTACGGTTAACCATGATGAAAATGACAACAAATTTGAACGGATCGCCATGGCAATCAGGCACTATCATGCAGAACTCAAGGAGTATAGCAGCTCTGTTGATGATATTGCCAGTATTAGTGAAATAAGGCATCCACCGAAGAAGAAGAAGCCGGTTATTACCCAAATGGCGAAAATGTATGACATATCGGAAATTACTCTCCATCGGCATATCAAAAATACTAGTCCACGGACAGTTACGGAAGCAGATGCAGAGAAACAGCTTTTGACAAAATCAGAGGAGGAAGTATTAGTAAAAAGGTTACTGTTTCAACATACCTACCAATAAAGCTTTACTCTACTAGCTGGCACATTTATTGCTTCACCGATGCAATCCCAGAAGATTATAGGGTGTGATTAGTCTTACCGATTCCTTGTACAACATCCCGAGTGCTGATATTTGGCAGTCAAAACAATCTCTTCAGCCCATACGAATGCACTGGCAGTGAACAAGAAAACTCTGACCGATCTTTTCAGAAGGTAGTCCAATAAAAAAAATTCAAGAAATAAAATTAAAATTCTACTCTTCAACCTTTAAATCTACAGCTCCAGCTTGTGATATCGAAATACCAAATTCAAACAAAGAATACCTACAACATGTACGGGATTGGCTTTACCATAGGGACCGGCGGCAATGTCACAAAGCGACTTTGTCGGAATATCAGAAAGGATGCGGTTTATAAGGAATTCAAAAATCAAGAATCTTACCAGTGTAGTATTGTTCAATCAATGAGTCTATAAGATTTCCAGGGTACACCCTTCATAATACTTCACGGAGGCAATCATTTGACCGGTTGGCACAAGAAAGAAAAAAAAAAAGAAAAATCGACTCATTTTGGTACGGAATTTCCCGAAAGAATATCATGATAGTACGCTGTGCTTGGAATACTTGCAGAAGATTTTCGGGCCGAAAACAAATCATAGAACCGCAGGTGAGTGGAGATTATTAATTTTTGAACAATTTGAATCAGATCCACAACTTGAGAAAGTGGAATTTTGATTGCTTAATAAAAATACTACCCTTCTGTCTTCCATCTCATACCCCCCAGTTTTGCAACCCCCCTGACGTTGGTGTTTTCGGACCGTTAAAAACATACTATAGGCAAGAGGTTTGCAACCTCCACTGCCCTATTACTAAAAATAATTGTCCTGATCTACTATCTGTCGTCCGCCATAACGCGTTCACCATACATAATATTCAAGCGGGGTTCCGAGTAACTGGTATTTCACCTTTTCATCCTGAAATTATTGTTGATTCCCTACCTACCGAGAATATACCAACCCCCGATACCCGCCCTAAACCTCCATTACCAATACCCGAACACTTGCAAACCCCAATTGGTTTAATTAACCTCAACCCCCCACCACCTATTACCACACGCGGTCTGAATCATTTGTATCAGTAATCAAAAGCCACCTATTTACTAAATAGTCCTTCCAATCTGTATGTCAAAAAGTAAGCATATGTCTGGTCCACAACAAGTCTGCAATCTCACCACTTTCCGGCATCTCGTAATCTGGATCTGCACACCGGTTCTCCCTCCTATATGCTGATAGTGCACTGGTATAACCTGCTGTTGCGCCCACCACTCTACTTTGTAATCCTCTCTTTAACACACGAGGCAATGCTGTGATGTTGGTTGTTGAAACGGGTCAGAATCTACACAGTTTTTTTCACAACTATTCGGCTATACCCCAGTCTCACCCCTGCACTTGGACGGAGAACTTTGCTACCTCTGCCAAAACCGACCCTGTTGTGCTGCCCGCCACCATACTCTCGTTACAGTTCTACTAAAGCAGTCTCTCGTTCAACAGCTGTTTCATAAGGGGTTTTGTAGGTATACTAGGATAGCTGAGAGCATCAATATCCATATAGTATAGCACTCCAGAATATGACTGTGGCCTCACCTTAGAACTTTCTATTCATGTTGCACGGTATAAAGGCTTCTCCAGCACGTCGTAGAACACCTCTGGCTCTTCTCCCCCCCGGTAGATTGCTACTCTCAAAATAGGACTCACCGGTGAAGAAGATGTCTTGCCAATTCTGCTGTCGATGCTGCAGACAGAATGCTAGACATGCAGCCTGTGTCTATCATTCATCAAAGGCTTTTTGGTAGGTCTAAGCCGATGGATTCCATCAGCTTTCAAGGTCTTACTGATTGTATTGATGCGTGTGTTCAAACCCGTTAAAATCTGTTTGAACAGTTGGCTTAAGGAATATATTTCTGATACGTAACTGCTGCCCCAAGCTCACCTAAAGGCATCCGACAGTGAGTTGCATCTGATAAAGCCCACTCAAGCAATCTTCTTTCCTCCTCAACAGTTAAAGCCTTGTTGTTACCCTTCCTCGAGTTGGGCTCTGGTTCCAAGTTTTCTTATGCACAAACATCAGCGTTTCCAGTCTGTATCGCCTTCTCTCTAGCCTTGTTGATCAGGTTCGAACAGGTGGACTTTGGAACACCTGAAAGCATTGAAATCTCCTCGAGTTCATCTTTCTTTTACCCCGCAAGCTGGCATACCCGAGCACCTCACCCCGCTTTGCAAGTGATGTCGTTCCTCCTCTTCGAACAAATGGAATCATGACGCGGACAGTGACGGGCTCAAGGTGTTCGCGGGTACGAACTACTACTTAAACTGTGCAAGGCGGCGGGCTCACGGGCACGAACTACTCCTCAAACGAACACGGCCGTCACCGGTTGATGGCGTATGAGCCTCAATACAAGCTCATGCGGGCCCAGTTCAGTTCGGAAACGCAAATAAATTACGAGTAGAGTTCTATATCTACTTGCTGGGTCCTCACAACTTCCATGTCGTGTGAAATATAGTGTTTTCCTTTCCCGGCCTGGGGGTCTCCCTCCGGACGCTGGCAATAATTAATTCAATTTCGCTGTTAGATGGCCTTTACCCTCAAACAGAGTTTGTTGATGATACCCGGAAGTGTTTTGTAGCCGGTTTTTGCTCATAGCCCATGTCAAATGGAAAGTGCCCGGTGATTGCCCGGTATGTGTTTCCTATTCCCTAAGGGGGGGGGTAACTATATATTATGTATATCAGACTGACTATGCGCATATACTTATAGCAATTCAAGAAAGTACGTTCGGTGCTGGCTATGTAATAAAGCTACTAAATTAACGCCATACATCAACAGATCTCTCCTCCGGTCCAGTAAGAAAAATAAATCAAAAGAACTGCCTCCCATTTCGAACCGCCCAAACACCACTTAAGCCTTAAATACCTTAATCTACACCATTCACCGCCCCGTCAGCTGTGCCACTTCAACCCACATCTCACACATTGGACAAGAACACCTACCCGATACTCCACCGCCGTCCTGCACAGCGGACACCGCACCGACGACCAACTCCTCACCCCCCTCTCCTTTATCCCCATCCTATCACAGCACCTCTATCCACTAGTCAACACCATACCCCTCCCCTCCCCACCCCCAAAACCCAAAATAAAACAGGATAGATACTCACCGAACACAACGCCAAATGCCCACACGGCACCAACACCGTATCCGGCGTCTCGTCCGAACAGACCACACACTCCTCCTCCACCTGCTGCTCCCCCGCAGTACCCTGGACGTCACCCCCAGCCTCTGGCAGCTGCAACAGCGTCTCCCTAGCCATCGCAACCAGCTGCTGCCGCTCATGCTCATCCTGGTCGATATCCGGGTTCGTACACAGCTCCATCAGCGCGGTTGCCTCCTCCAACAGCCGCCTCCTCTCCTCCGCGTCATGCATGGGCGGGGGTGAGTGCACCAGTGCGGGTACAGGTGTGTGTGGGGGCTCGTCCCCCGTCCCCCCGCCCTGCCGGTGAATGAGTAGATAACGCTCCAGAACAGGCCAGCGAAGCCGGTGAGGCCGGCGGGAGAAGGTCGTCCGCTTGTTGCGGCGTGCGCGGCTGGTGGAGGCGGCGGCGCTGGGTGTGCGGCGGGGCGAGCGGGGCCGCTGTTTGCGCTGTTTCTGCTGCTTGCGGCGGGTTGTGGAGGGGCAGGTGAAGCGGGTGGCGGGAGAGGATTTGGTGCCTGGATAGGGCGCGGGTGAGGCTGAGGAGGAACTACCACTGCTGCAGCTGGCAACCGGGGGGAGTTTCTTAATATGGCTAGATAGGGAGGAGCCTGAGGAGGGGCTACCACAGCAGGCAACGGGGGAGGATTTGCTGGTGTGGCTGGACGAGCGAGAGGCTGTGAGACGGTAGGTTCAGCTGGGGAAGGACGAGTATTTGCTGGTGGGACCGGGCGAGGGAGAGCTAGAGGTTGAGGAGCGGCAGCAGCAGCTGGGGAAGGACGGAGAACCAATACCGGGACCGGGCGAGGGAGAGGTTGAGGAGCGGCAGCAGCAGCTGGGGAAGGACGGAGAACCAATACCGGGACCGGGCGAGGTGAGGGTGTGGGGGATGCTATACGGGGCGGTGGAGGAGGATCTACTATTCGAGTTTCTGGGCGAGGGAGAGCTGGGGGAGGTGCTGTAGATGTAACACGGCGCAGTGGAGGAGGATCGACTATCCGAGTTTCTTGGCGATGGAGAGGTGGAGAGGATGCTGTAGATGTAGCATGTCGTGGAGGAGGAGGATCCACTATTCGAGTCTCTGGGCGAGGGAGAGGTGGAGAGGATGCTGTAGATGTAGCATGTCGTGGAGGAGGAGGATCCACTATTCGAGTCTCTGGGCGAGGGAGAGGTGAAGAGGATGGAAGACGGCGCGGTGGAGGAAGATCTACTATTCGAGTCTCTAGGCGAGGGAGGGGTGGTTGGGATACCGTAGATGTCGCACGGCGCGGTGGAGGAGGATCTATCACCCCCGGGCGAGATGGGAGAGGTGCTGTAGATCTAACATCGGGCGGTGTAAGAGGATCTACTACTTGAACTGCTGGAGGGCGTGGTTGAGGAGCGGCAGCCACAACTCGGGGAGGACGGAGAACCAAGACTGGCCGAGGAGACCTACGAGGGTCAGAAACAGCCGGGGAAGGACCAGGGTCGGATGTGACGATTGGCCCGGGGCGCAGGTGGGCTTGTTGATTAGCTGCCACATCAGACGACGGAGCAGGATTTGCGAGTGCGACTTTGGCCGGACGGGGATCGGGGTGTGAAGGAGGCACTGATAATGAGACTGGGCTGGGGTGGTGCGATTGAGGTGTGTTTGCAATATTTGAGGACGGGCGAAGAACTGGTTGCAGAGAAACAGTTTCGGAGGAGGAAGGAACGGAATCTATTATTGAGACTAGGCCAAGCGAATGCAGAGGAGGAGGAGGGGGAGGAGGAGGAGGAGGAGGAGGACCAGACGGTGCAACCGGGCCGGGGCGCGGTTGAGGTGAGCTTATGGTGGAGGGGGCAGGTCGAGAGATTGGCCGTGATTGAGAAGGGGTGGTCACAGAAGAGGAGGAGGATGGGGTAGTCACAGAGGAGAAGGATGGAGTAGTTACAGCGGAGGAGGAGGAGGAGGAGGGAGCAGCTGCAGCTGCAGCTCGTTGAGGGGGGACAGTGACAGGACAGCCAGTAACCGGATCTATAGTTTCGACTGTTCGAGAGCGGCGCCTACGAGAGCGGCGCTTACGAGACACCGAGGAGGGAACCCCAATAGAGGAGGAAGATGGTGCGTCTGATATTGCGACCGGGGGGTGGGGACGGGGCTGTTGAGAGGCTGCTGCAGGCGCATCAATACCCCCACTCCGCACCCCCAACTGCGGAGGTGCCACTAGAGGTCTTCTCTCCACCCCCGTTGTATTCCTCTCCCCGCCGCCCGCACCACCAACAACCTCCCTGCTCTCTCCTCCCAACCCAGGCACAGACCCGGCACGTAAGGGCCCCCGGCGCGGGGGCTTCCACGTGCCAATATCCCCCTCTCCACTCCCCCGATAAGCCCAGTCCCTCCAGACGCTACTTTCCCTGGGCCGTGGAACATACCGCGGGCGTGATGGCTCATACTGGTTGCCATTGTTGGCACTGGAGCCTGCGTGCCCCATCCTCGAGGCCCACTCCGGGAGATAGACGCTGTCGCGGGTGATGTAGGGGGTGTGGTGATTCTGCGGACTCCGACTGTCGCAATACCTGCCATTACTCGAGGAACTCGCTCCATCTTCATGGGTTGCCTCAGACTGCCGGCCGGACATACTCATCTCGGCGGTTTTCGAGAGTTTTTAGCTAGCAAGCCAGTAACTTTAAAAAGATGTGGATTGGCCGTAGAGTCCTGTCGGGAGGGGTAATTTAAGATGGTCATCGGTGGTGACGTAGGTGGTGTTGGGCTTAAGCCTAATATTAAATGCTATTGATGTGTGTGGCGCAGGCGGTTTCTGCAGCCAACCGTTGTTGGCCGCTTGTTGTGTTCACTCTTCTTCGACGACGATTCGAAAAATACGTAAATGAATAAAACTTTTGATTAAGACAAAACGAGAGCAATGATAAATTTGTTCGTGATGATGAGAAGACAAGAGAAACTAGCTAGAGGTAATTCATAATCTGAACACCTAAACAAACTGTTGCTGGCGCTACCGCTACGTTTCCCTTTGCTGCGCCTGTCCCGGCAAATCCACGCGTCTACTGTATGACTAATGCTTGACCGTAAATCTGCCCAACACCGTTTATGCATGTGGGTTAGGGTTTAGGTGGGGTCCCTCGCTAATTTTTGTTGCGCTAGCTTATTGACGACTTTCCAGAAGAGGGTTTTGTAGATGTGGTGAGTGCTACTTCTGTAGTGGATCTTCGGACTGGTACATATGATTGCTGGGTTTTTGGAGACGAGCTGGGGGCCCGTTTAATACAGATGCACCTCCATAGCACGAAGTACGGAGCGGTGGCTTCTCGCGGCGATTCGCTAGAATAGAAGAGGATGTGTGGCTCAACTCGACAGGGTATCACGGGGTGAAAGTCGAATGTAGCCCAGCTGAGATGTACCCGATGTCTGCCTGGGCCAATGCCCTGCCTGTATGAGCGATGGGGCTAGCCAGTGTAGTCCGCGGTTTGGCCCAACTGCAAGACAAGAAGGAGGGAAAGCCCCATTGAAACGCCATATCTCCGGTCAACCCGATTGGACGCCACGAGCCACTCGAAATGAACCGGTTGATCTCTTTGTCATTATTTAATGACACTCTAGAATCCAGGGTTAGGGTTACATATTTGAGTTAGGTATGTAACGAGTGATCAATCATGATTGAGGCGTTCTTCTCGTACATGGATGAATTTCCCGAGATGGGAAACGTGAGAGCTCCCAGATGATGAAGATATACGTTGCTGATAGCTCGGGGTATGATAGGTGGTTGTTTGGTTTTGGGTGATTTCTCGGGCATGGGCAGACTTGTCTCGTCGATCATATTACCTGTACTCAGGTTCGAAGTACGCAGCTCTCAATATCTGCATGGAGCGCCATGGCCCGTCTCTTCCATAGGTTCTGGTGTGGTCCTAACTTCTAATTCATTACCTTAAGAAAGGGAACCACTTCGATAATCTGCTTCGGTTCCGTTATTATAGATCGATAATCGACTCTCTGTCGTTGTTGCTCGATTCCTGTATATGCATCACCAAACTGCGTTAGGATCCGCGAATTAAAATTTGGCCTAGCGGCTTAAGGGATAATATCTCCTTGTATTGAAGTATTGCGTCTATGCATCACTATGTACATCGGACCGCTTTGTCAGAAGTATTTCCTTTATCTCTTTTATCCGCGCTTTCAATAAAAGCAATATCATTTCCACCAAACATCTCCGCTTTAGGCTTACCTGTGCTGACGCATTTCAGCATTTGGTACATGGTCAAAATCAACACAGCAGGAATATGCCCCGGCCGATTATCCTACATGAAGCGAAGTTGCCTTTTACAGTGAGAACAGGGGAATATTAGGGGTCTTTAGCAAGGAAAATGAACGTAAAACTCTCGGAACCAACCTATAGCTATAGGCCTTGTACTCACTATCTAACAAACATATCGTGACAGCAATAGCTATTGCGATTCCCATTACGGGTTGCCCAGCTCAAATCCCATTGCCGCTTTTGTGTCTTTTAGCTTGTAACATTTTACTGGATCCTTTCCACAAACCAAGTGGATACATATGCGCGTAGTGGATCCATGGAACAATTTTGACTGCAAAACCGAAGACGACCGCCAAGGACACGCGGTGCAAAAGATCCATTAGCGCTTAGGTGGTCAGTAAGGCATTTCGAAAAAACTACTGGCCGGCCCCGGGCAGAGGTTAAGGACAATTAATCCGGCGCCGCTAGAGGATAGGGCGAGGTGGGGGCAAAAACCGAACGGCTATTGTCGAGTGATATCTTGTGATTGAAGGAGGTTCATGATCAACGGATGGGTCTTCGACATACCGTTCCAGACCATTAGATGTCGTGCTCCTCTTAATAAATCAGGACTTTAAACTGGCCATTCGGAACATTTGGCTTCCCAGCCTGAATATTCTGGCAGTAAAATTGTTTGAATCAAAAACGATAAATTTCCCAAACGTCTACAACCAAATTATATCTAGAAAAATTACGATACGTAGAGATTACAGCGTATAGCTCTACATCCCTCTAAGCCTTAAATACCTTAATCTACACCATTCACCGCCCCGTCAGCTGTGCCACTTCAACCCACACCCCACACATTAGACATGAACACCTACCCGATACTCCACCGCCGTCCTGCATAGGGGACACCGCACTGCCGACCAATTCCTCGCCCCCCTCTCCTTTATCCCCATTGTATCACAGCACCCCTATTCACCAGTCAACGCCATCCCCCTCCCCTCCCCTACCTCCGAAACTTAAATAAAACAGGATAGATACTCACAGAACACAACGCCAAATGCCCACACGGCACCAACACTGTATCTGGCGTCTCGTCCGAACACACCACACACTCTGCCTCCATCTGCCGCTCCTCCGCCTCCACCTGCCGCTCCTCCGTATTACCCTGGATGTCATCCCCAACCTCTGGCAGCGATACCAGGTGTAAAAGTTTCTCCATAGTAATTGTATTTATCTGCTTCCGCTCATGATTATCCAAGTCGCTATTCGGGTTCTCACACATTTCCATCAGTGAGGCAACCCCCATCTTCCTGCGCCGTCTCAGACCGCTGACTGGATCCTGTCAAAGTACTCATCTTGGCAGTTCTCGGAATTGATAGCTAGTATGTTAATGTGGATTGGTTGTCGAGTGCTGTCAACAGAGGTAATGAAACATGGCTATATATCGGGGCTATTCGTGGTTCTGGGGTTAATAAATAATATTCATGTGAGGCGCAGGCGGTGTCTGCGTTGTTCAGGCAGCCCACTCTTTATGCGTGTGGGTTAGGGTTTCCATGGGGCTTCGTTTAATTGTTGCAGTGAGTCATGGAGATTCTTGAAGACGTACATATGTAGGTAGTACTATTTTTGTAGTGGATATTCGGGCCGGTATAGTATGATTGGTGGGTCTTAGGTCCGTTCAATACTGATGCACCTCCTCCGAACCGTACAAAGTGACGGTGGCGTCTAGCGATTGGTTAGAGTAGGAAGAGTATGGACTCTACATGTAGCCTCAGATGCATAGCTACTTGACCAACGCACTGCCTGTCTGGGCCATGGGACTACCATAGTCCGCGGTTTGGGTGAAGACTAGAAGGAGGGAAAGCTTCTTTCAAGCGCAGCTTCATTGAAGCATAGCTTCTCCGGCTAAATTCGCTCGAGACCACTAGTTACTCGAGATGAACAGCTTGATCATTTCATTGTTATAAGAGCAACTGTGGAATTCATGGATCTTAAGGTTAAATGCAACGAGTGATCAATTATGATTGAGACTTTCATTTAGTACTTAGATGAGTTGCCCGAGATGGGTAAAGTGAGGGCTCTCGAGCGGTGGAAATATGAGTTTGAGATAAATAGGGTTAGAATAGGTGGTTGTTTGGGCTGGGTTCTGGGGGCGGGCGGACCTGTCCCGTCGATCAGATTGACCAGTACTCACGCCCGGACCCAGCCCTCATTGCTGCGTTGGAACGACGTAGCCAATCCTCCACATCTTCAGGTGTGATCTTAACCCCCGGCTTAATACTCTCAGCATGCATATGCATGGGAATCACTGCAACCATTTGCTTCGATATCTCTTATTGTAGATGATACCCGCCCCCCTTCCCCGTGGCCGCCTCTAGGAGTAGTCCTGGGACTCATTGTGTTGCCCACCTATAGGTCTCCTTTATATGTCATATACTTACTGTTTTACGCAAGCAAATGCTCGAGCCCTCGCAAATTAAATGTCTAAAATAGTAGTAATTCCAAGGTTTCATATTATTGCCACAAGGAATGACGAAGATACCCCTTAAATGGTCAGGTAAAATTGTAATCAGTGGAACCCAACGGGGGTTGAAATACAACCGTGGTTTGATAAACGCAATATCTTGGTGCACATGTGTGTTGCAACGCGTACACACATTTCATCATACACAAACCCTGCGATAGTATGTATCTGTCGTTGTTCCTCCTATCGGCGGGCGGCGTACCCTACGTGCATCACGATTTCCAAACTGCATTAGGTTCCTCTAATTACAATTTGGCCTGGCGGATGAAAAGATATTATCTTGTTTTTTATTGCGCCCATGCATCACTATCTATCTGGGTTGGTAGAAAATCTGCCGGGTGACCAGGGTCGAGTGATAACTTATGATTAGACACTCATATAAATAAATATAATTGATTTCTTATATATAATTTTACCTCAAGGGGGCTATCGAAATCATACCCACATTCGTTCATATCCGTTACTACCCCAAGAATCGCCCTTGGATCCACGATAACCGTAAACAACCCTCCCGACTTCGGATACGCCCATCAAACTTAAGTAAAGGAACCTAGATATTGTAAGTTATGTTTATGATTATATATGTGCTTTAAACTAACTAGTGTCGACGCATTTCAGTGCCTAGTTAAAGCTAACATCGCAGTAACCCGCATAACGTCGAAGTTACCTTTTACAGTAAGCACAGGGGAAGATTAGCGGTTTTTGTAAGTATTACGATTTCCATCACGCGTTACTCGGCTCAAGTCCCGTTGTTGTCTTTGTATCCCTTAGCTTCCAACGCTTGACTGGATCCTTTCTACAAATCGATGTATACATATGCGCGGGTTGAAGCAGCTCTGACTGCAAAACCGGAGGCAGCCGCCAAGGACGGGCGGTGCAAAGATCCACTAGCGCTTAGATTATCAGCAAGGCTTTCGGCAAACTAGTGACCGGGCCTGGGTAGAAGTTAAAGACCAGCCGGCGCCGTCGATGTGGGGCGAAAATCGAAGTTTTGCAGCCGAGTGATATCGTATGATTGACATAGGTTCACAATCAACGGGTGGGTCTTCGACCTCCCGTTCTAGATTGTTGAGCGTGGTGCTCCTCGTAATGCATCGGAATTTAAACCTAACCATTCGGATCATTTAAATTCCATGCAGTGAGCTCTCATATTCTGGCAGTAAAACTATTTAAATCAGAACCGATAAATTTCCGAAATGTCTATGACCGAATTGTATATCTAGAGGAGTAATTAGATATGGGGATTCCAATGTATTGCTCTACGTACCTCCCGCCAAGGTGTCTTAATCCGACAGTCAGCCCACCTTCAAAGTTGCCTGTTAATACCAAGTCTTCGCCTAGGAACCCTAACCCTTGGTTTCAGATTAACCTCTACTACCTTGTACGTCGAAGACCCACGCTCTGACACAGCGTTAATCTGGTAGCCGCAGACTGAACAGATTGAGGGGTTAGGACTGACTTGATAGGAAGAGAGTAGAGCTTATAATGGGTGATAGTTTACATCGCGAGGAGATAAATCTAGCGAATAACGGCTTGTATTAATGAAATTGAGAAGACGAGAATTTTTACTGTTCTCAGACTACAAGTAATAAATAAATACGACCTAAGCCGCTAGTAATAGTTATGGTAGGCATAGAAATACCCTCTTCTATCGCGACAAGTACATTCTATAGCACCAGTTGACTTCAATAGATAACATGCTATTACGGCCATTGAATGTTAACCCTAACCCTTACTTTTCCTGCTGCTTTCCTTCCCATCTAGGCCGCGAGGTGTATCATGATACCTATGACTCTGAGCATCCCTTATTTTCCCAAGCGGGAGGCTAATGCCAATATCAGATATTGACTTTAAAGATAGGGCGACGCGGGGCCATTTGGAGTACGTAGGTACAATAACGAATTCTCCCCTATGTTGGTGTAATCCGATGTGGTATAACGGTTAGCATCGCTCGCTCTCAAGTCCTTCTAATAAGACAACGATCCGAGCAGATCGGGGTTCGATTCCCCGCATCGGAGTAAATTTTATCAATGGCCTACGCTAGAACTTGTCAGTAACCCTAACCCTTGATCTATGCCTAATATTGGTGACCTATCATAGGGTAGCTAAGTATTTTCATCCGAACTAATAAGATTGCCAATACTTACATACCTTACCGTCAAAACGCATACAATTTTGAGCCTTATTCAGTCGGCTTATCCAAATCGTAGGCTCATAATAGTCTTATGAATCCAATAAGGTTCAAATAAGTATTATTTAAGCATGTTTTAAGGATGAAATAAGGCTTAAAAAAGGATTTTTGTACTGATAAAGCTATTTTGAGCCTACGTTCTGGATAGGTCGACTGAATAAGGCTCAAAATTGTATGCGTTTCGACGGTAAGGTACATTCTCGCTATCTTTCCAGATTCCCCATCTCTAAAGAAAACGTAGGAAACTAGATACGGCGATCAGAGGTAACTCTCGGAAACCAAACATCCCAGTACTTACACCGACAGCTATAAACCCCCCTGCGACATCTATCACAATCAACGAGATATAACTCGCTAGCCTCAAGAATTCCTTGGAGACGAGAACATTAGTATCTTAGCCTATCCTAGATCAGGCTCGTCGGGTGAATATGCGCCAACTACCACCCCCCGTTCCATTCAAACCAATGTTGTAGAATGTACCTACACCCACCATATTCACATAAAAGCTCTACCGAATTACAGAACAAGTGATAGTCTGGCATGAAATACCTACTCTACTCGCGCTACCGGATTGAAGCCACCCAAAGAAATGTAGCCAGTGATCTGGCAGCCAATAAACTTTCAATCAACTACTTACCTTTTTGTCTGAGCGAATTCAATCCTACAGGCGGGGGAACAACTCCCCTCCGCGCCACGCTATTCCAGGTTCATCATGTCTTGGCACTACTCTGGTTCTTGGCCCGGAGCATAAATCATCACTCGATTTGTTCGGTCGGTGGCAAGACCTACTGTTCCGGCCAGCATCACCGAGCATCCACACCTTGATCTCTAGCACATGTTTCAGTGGGTTTATTTTTATCTCACGTGCCATAATTGGTTGAATAGAGGGGATTGGCCCCCACAGTACGGCTAGTGACCATTCAATCAAGTATTATAGACATTAAAAACGTAGGGAAAGTTCAATTGGCAGGAGACTGTGGTACATGATAGAAAACAAACGTAAAAGAAATTCGTATCTCGCTTAACATACATCTGAAATGAAAATGCTAAAGATGCGGTAGATATGCCGACACAGGTACCTTTTTATAAATCCCCGAATCAGCCTTGCGCAAACTAATAAAGGCCTCGACCAACAAAGCCCCAGCGGCCACAATATAAACCGTTCCCAGTATAATTCCCATCGCTACCTGACTCTTGCGTAATGCCTCCGGGTCATGATCATATTCCTGGATTATGATCACTATAACGTAAAAAAGCAAGAGTAGGGCTGGTACGATCCCAATCACCAAACACGATCCCCTCCATATCCATTTCTCAACGTCGGAAGGAAAATAATCGTTCCAGGACGTGGAATGAAGGCCTGCGTAGCAGAGATAGAAGAGACAGGTAGAGATGCTTCTCATGTTAACCTCTCGTCTTGCACGACTGGTCATTGCCACCTTCTCCACTTTCTTCTCCCCCTTCTTCTCCCCGTTCTTCTCATCCTTTTTCTCGCTCTTCTTCTCCTCTTCCGTCACCTTGGGAGCGCCCTTACTATCCGCGCCTTTCTCCTCATCTGCTTTTCTTCCCTCCTTTTTGCTTCGCTTCTTTTTTTTCTTGCTTTCAATGAGGTCTAGGAGTTTAACGAACTTAGATCCCACGGTGCCCTCAGGACCCAACCAGGGCATTACCTCGAGAACCGCTTTGCGAATCTCGCCGTATCGACTCCCCGCCCCGGTGGGCTTAAGGTTAGAATGTACCGAGCTCTTCTCGCCATTTGCGCAATGAAGACATCTTTCAACTACCGTCCGGCCCTGAGGGGGCGCATTCACGTTGAAATCCCTTATCTCTTTAATTTGCGCTGAGGCTCTCTCCCGTAAATAATTCTGAAAACCAATCTCTCCCTTGTTAGGGGGAAATATCCAGCCCCGTATGGTACGCCTTATAGAACTCTGATCGGGGTGTGTATCTAAAGTGGGCATCATCCACCATGGTGCAAAATCATTCTGGTCGTTCTCATCCTCGGGTTTGTAGGATGGGACATAGGTAACGTCAAGCACGATGGGTTCATTCACATCCAGGGATTTGTTCCACCAAAACACATATATTCCCGCGGCACTGATAATATGGATAGCCACATGAAGCTCAAGGAGCGCCATGGGTGCGCGGGCGATGCGGCGGCCAATCAGTTGTATTAGGAACCAGATGGCTTGGAAAGACACGATGAGCTTCGCGAGCATACTCGCATTTCCCTTATCCACAATTTCCTTGAAGCTGACTTTTCGTTTCACACCTTCGGGGTCCCGCACAAAGGCCCGCCAGAACTCTTCGCATGTGACCGTTTTACCATATTTGTTCACAAAACCGCCCATGACAACGAAATAAGCCACCCGCATCGTAAGAAAGTTCTCGAAGTCCTCTTCGAGGTTTTGTGTGGTGTCCTTTTCTTTCTTTCCTCCCTTTTTTGTTTTTGCTCGTGATAGTAAACCATGTGTAGATGTCCTTGGGAGCGCCGTCTCTACTGGTGTGATCTCCGGTGGTGTTTTTTCCTCCTCTGGTAGTGGTGGTTTTTCTGAATACTCTGAATCTGGTGAGCGCTGGGGCTTTTCCGGGTCTATCGAGTTGCGAGGTGACGATTGCTGTTCTGTCGTGTGCTTGGGTGCAGTTGAGTCGTTCGCCATCGACTCTTTCTCTTTCTTTTTGTTTTCTTCCATAATATAGTCAACCGCAACCAATGCCCGGTGAAGCTGTCGCGCGTGGTCCCACTGGATCCGTGCCGCGGTCAGGATATCCTCTGGCATCATGAGTGCCTTAATGGACATACGAAGCTTTTGTTTCAAACGTTTTTTATTACTACCGTTCACCAGGATATCCGGGTGGATAGCAGTCCAAACACATAGGCCAAGGGTAACGCAACATGTGCTGATAATACTGAGTGTTCCGCGACTTTTGGGCTCGTCGGTCCATGCAACAATTGTAGGGGCAATAATTTTGGGGGATATTGGGACAACAGTAAGTGGTGGGACAGGGGCGGCGAGAACGCATGCGGCCAACACGAATAGTAGAAGCTTGAACGTCATTGAGTTGGGACCAAGACTTCTGAGACCTCGTTTTAGGTGGGCCACAACGATTCTTGAAATAAGTAAAGGCGTGACTGGATTGAGGTTTGCTCTTTCTAAGTTGAATAAAATTTATCCGTTAGACTTAGTCAAGTATGGAAGAAATCAAAGGAGAGGTAAATGAAAGGAGCCAGGCTATGCTCTTACCCGAAATAAGAATATCTGAGCTCCGACTCTAAGAGTCTAGTTCATACAAAGGATATTGACACTGATGTATATATATGGCTTTCTTCGGGTTTAGGTGGCTTTCGTATTTCTAGTTCAGGGTAAATAAAATAATTCATTGAAGCCGGGGAGCCTAATCTTTACTTGTAATTCTAGGTACCCTGGCATGTCTGATCACTCACTTTAATAACATCCAATGATCTTTTGGTGGATTGCCGACTGGGCAATGCTTTCGGACCTCAGAAGGGTTTCAGTGAGCTATTATATCACACCATTGCCTGACCAGTATGCTCGCACAACTGGTGAAGTTAAATGCGGTAAAGCTCGATATTGGCTATCTCCGACCAGGGCTTGTCTGTCTCTCTTGAAGATCGGTCGATGGTTGATCAGGCTGAGAAGTCTCTATTAGTAGTAGTTTTGTCCTTGCATGCATGGGGAGTTGTTAATGTCCCGGCGGCCGAGAGGGTCAATGAGCTCCTATATCAACGGTGAGCCTCAAACACAAGCGCAGGACAAGCCCAATCTCCACCGCCCCAAGCGAGTGATATGGCTATATTCCAGCCCGGTCTGGTTTGTTATCGCACTTCTCCTCGCGGTTCGTTTGCTAGAAACCCAGAGTCAGATGATGGTGGCAGATTCCTATGTGCGCAGAGTTTGATGTGACAACAAGATCAGACTTGTCACCAGTCGTTGGGGTTTCCTGACAGCGCGTGTGGAGCGTGCGCAAATGGCCTACTCCGTGGTAGGTTCGGAATTGATTGCTTTTTCTCGGGGGTAATCAACAGGCCAACAGCGACCTTTGTTTAGTCCAATGAGTATGAGGAGCATGGAGCGGAGGTGATCTACTCTGGAGCGGGGTGAAAAATGAAGTTAGCTGGACTTGACGAATCGGTTAAATATACTGGAAGGTGTTTCGCCCATGCGCAGCACAGCGCATGAAGATCTAGTAAATCAACAGTTAAACCCCTCAGACTGCCTACACCATAAGATTTCGTGGAACAATGACAAAGCCTAGCGTTTACAGGTGGCTGAGTTCATTTGCTCATAGCGACAGGCAAGCTATCTTCGATAACTTCAGGTATTAGGAGTGTGTGTGAAGGTTATATTGATGCACTTCATATGATATGCATGTTGGACTTTCTTTCACATCTGTGTGCGGGTAGGGATTGACGGTGTCACACTACGAGGCCGCCCTCTATCATAAAGCTATCAGTAACACTAGTAACTCCATTATACCAGTAGTACGGCATATAGTTGGTAAACCGAACCCTACATGGATTCTAGGCCCCCTCTGATTGGAAAGGAATAATGTGGGAGAATAGACTGCAGTCAAGAGAGTGGCAGTTTCCCCGCTGGTGGTGAGATCTCCAATGAGATCATTTAGAGCACACACGGTCAGCCCATGAGATGTGGACATAGAGCTGGCCCGGAGGTTTGAGATACGTGGGCCTATGTATGTATTGGGAACTCTCGTACTCGAGAAAAGGATTCCCTGGAAATTTCAATGTCAAAGATCACAGGATCGATCACGGTCAGCGTGGCATTTACTGGTAAGGCAAGGTGCTTATGCAGACCATAGTATCGCAATCCGTAGGTACACCGATGATAGTTAATTTCTTTAAAACCATTGCCAAGGATTGTCGAGGCGGCGGTGCCTGAGAAAATAAGGATCTACACGCAGAGACTATACACGCGAATATAAAGTATATAAAACTAGAGATGCAATCAATCATGTAAACTATTAGGTAGGATATTGTGCGATTGTTACGAATTCCAGGTTTTGCCATACCAACTTTATCTGCAGCGCACACCACAGGGCCTTTTCCCAACCCACCTCCTCCATAATATGTTCGGACCCGAACCCCTTGTTGTCTTGATTGCCGAAAGCTGATGTATTATCAGCACATGTATCATATGAGTACCCACGAATTAGATGAGAGTCACCACGCATCCGCCACGAACTGTACTCTAGGTGGTGTGCATAAGCGCTCCAGCCAACCCTTGACCCTTGACCCGAAGCAGGCCAGATTAGAATTAATGCAGATAAACACCAATAACTTACATAGCGTCCGAGCAGACCTGGCCACATAACCATTAAGTACCCCAATTCACTAACGATATTGAGAGCTTGTAGACTCAATGTGAAAAATTCTAAGCTCGCTATGTTGGACGAGAGTAACTTTTTGCTACTCCGGGGCTCTTTATTTTTTTTTGATTGATGCGGAACCGATCGGACTATGTGCCACCTCTGGAGCTCTCGTTAGGTCGCTTATGGATAGGATTTCAGTCAAACATTCGCGAAGAAGGACTGCTAAAGGGTCTAAAAATGCAGTTACCCTGTGCCTGTATGCGCAGCAACCAGGTCTCACTACCGCATAAATCTTTAGAGTAGAGAAAAATCTCTTCTAAAAGCTACAGGGCAGTTCAAGGCGTAAGCCATCCGAATTCACGCTATTTGCTGTGGATTGAGCCGTGGATCAAGTGAAGCTCCTCCCCAAGATGCAGATTGCCGCTAGGATTAGGTTTGCGTTGCCATATGGTGAAATAGGGTATGTATGCACCTATCACATCGCACTGGAGTGCTAGTGTATATACTCGTTTACCACGAAAAGAACCAGAAAATGCAGTTGCTCAGGGCAAGGATCCTTTGTATGGAGTGGTGGTGGTCTCTCATACAAACTATCCCTGTTTCCGTCACTTGCATTTTCCAGTTCTTTCGTAGTAAACGAGTACAGCGCCGGACAGTCAAAATCAACCCCCATGTTCTTTTCAAGCCAGAAACTAGTCCTAATCGGTTAATAATAATCATCTAATCATCCCAATAGGGTAAGAATTATCCCAATTAATGTGGCCGCCTTGGCATAAAGTTATTATTTCACACCTATGTTTTTTTCGGGCAGATTGCACCAAATGTTTGAGAGGTCATAGTGCAGCCAGTTCTTAATTATTTTAAATCCAATTTTATGGGGATGTTTACAACCATGATTAGACCCATTTTACAAAAGAACATTATTTTTGGACAAGTGTTGCGTTGTTGAAAGTCGATGGGGCGAAGGGGAGTCGGTGGTTGCTCTGGCCGGCTGGTTTTGGCTGTCCGACACCGTACATTAAAGTAAGCTTCTTCAGGCAGGGTTCCCCCGCCCTGGATCGACGCACGCTGGCCAGGTAGTGGTCATGTAGGCGAGTTCCTCGTTCCCGGAGTAGGTGCATATGTACGGAGTTTTAAATTTGAATCCGGGCTGCAGTGTCGTCAGTCTCCATCGATTAGCTAAGGTGCAATCTCGCTCGAATAGAATATCCACGAGATCTTAAGAGAGTTGATTCTGCTAACCAGATTCTAGAGCGAACAGTGTGGGCTCGATAGAGTTAAAGATGAACGCATGATGATGAGTGATGGAGGATGAAACTATTCGCTTCGCGTCCAACATATCCTTAATTGGGGTGACGTTGTTGGGCACATTTGTTGCTAAGCGATTTGTCATACATTAGTCAGCGCAGAAAAGGACAATCCCTTTGTAAAGGTGTCCGAAGTGAAAAGGGCCGTATAACTACTGTAGCTTGCTATCTTTCTGTTCATCACCCATAATATATCATCCTGCTTGTTCTCGGTTTTCTAAATAGAAGTTTTATTCATTCTACGTATTTTCGTCTCGAATCGTCGTTGAGAAGAAAAGAAACAGAGAGTGAACACAACAGCCGGCCAACAACGTTTCTGACTCGCATTGGTCACCAACGTGACGCTTGGCATTTGCTACGAGACGAGTTAACTCGAGTTCTCGGGCCAAGCCCTCGAGCAGCCACGAGTATCTACTCTATCCTCGCTAGTCAAGTTGGCCCGAGCTGTTTTCACCGCCCGATGTGAAAAGCTCACACCAGATTTCCTAGTTATCCTTCCGCAATTCGATTTATAAAACGTTCTGTTCAACACTAAGGTCCCTAACAATATATCCTTGCACAAAGAGATCTATGTGGAGTGACTTTTAGAACTCCTGTAGTAACACTGAAAAACCCGAGCGGTGGCCCAAGAGATTCCCGATAATAGAGAGTTTCTAGCTGTTTTAGGCAAGGATCTGCAGGATTTAGTCAATAAGAGGTGTAGGGGTTTCTATCCAAGTACTCGACTTTCTATTCAGCTCATATAGCTATATAGCTAAAACTCTCTAATGAGTGTCCTGGTACTACATAATACCGCATCACATCGGCAGTGACATTAACCAAGCTGTGCTGAAACTGCGCTCGGGGAAAGTTGCCCCGAAGGAGCTGGGAAAATTCCAGCCTTGTTGAGTCCGTATCCCACCATTCCCCCAGACTTACAGTATTGGAAAATTATATTTGCCAAATTCTATAAACTACATGTGATCTGATTGTTTTCTCTTGCTGGCTGTCTCGGAACAGCATACCTTCTTTACGAACCTAGACAGCATATACAAATGTACCTAGCGAGAGGGGTCTTGTACTCGTTTGTGGACGCGGCCAATATTGCATACCATACAAAAATGCGCCAAGCTGATGATTTTTGGTGTATGCAATAGTGGCCCAGTTCAAAAACGTCAGGAAGATATGAGTAAATCGATATCTCTGCCTTGTACGCATTTCGGGATAGGTATATACCACATTTGTTCATCAATACCTTGCACATTTGGATATATTAACAATGTCGTAGTGAGCCCGACCTGGTTGGTTAATATTCCTTTGAGCAGGTTTAGCTCCCTACCCCACACGCCCCATAAAGTGCGAACGCCCTCTTATATTCACGCACAAATCCCAGCGCGGTTACCACCAGCCAGAAAGCTTCACATTTCCCCGTTTCTATTTAGAACACGGCAACGTACGTTTAGGGTTCTATCAATAGTCGACATGACTCCCATCATTCTCGTGTCATAATACCACCTGCAACGTCATCATCACCTTCTAAGGCCAGCTGCCTATCGGTAATAAATACAGACCTGATAAATTCATGGAAGGATATATGTCGAAATGCACTTTCATAGTGGCCATATATTTGAAGTTCTGATATACCTGTCTTCAGTAGCAGATATTCACTGGGTACTTCATACCATCTATCTAGGCCGTCCTGCATCTCCCATCACAAGCCTTGGCTATAGTGCACTCGACGAACAGGACGTCCCCGGTATGTAAATCGGTAGACCAATAAACCATAGCAACTT